TTCTTCAATACCATAGCTCAAATGCATCATTTCTTCTATCAAGTCTTCTTAATTCACTGTCCAACTTTCACATGCATATGAGGTCACTGAAAATACCATGGCTTAGGTCAAGCACACCTTAGTCCTCAAACTAATATCTTTGCTCTTGAACACTTTAAAGAGGTCTTGTGCAGCAGATTTGTCTAATGCTATATGTTGTTTGATTTCTTGACTGCTGCTTCCATGAGTGTTGGTAGTTGATCCAAGCAAAATGAACTCTTTGACAACTTCAATCTTTTCTCCATTAATCATGATGTTAATTTTTGGCCAATGGTGACGATTTTTATTTTCTTTACATTGAGGTGCCACCAAACTGAAGGGTCTTTGATCTTCATCAGTGAGTAGTTTAAGTCCTCTTCACTTTCAGCAAGCAAGGTTGTATTATCTGCATATCAAACATTGTTCATCAGTCTTCCTCCAGTCCTAATGCCACATTCCTTATGTACTCCAGAGTCTCAGATTATTTGCTCAGCATACAGATTGAATAAGTATGGTCAAAAAATACAACCATGGTGCACACCTTTCCTAATTTTAAACTATTTGGTGTTCCTTTGTTCTGTTCTATGTACTGATTCTTGGTCTATGTATAGGTTCTTCATAAGCACAATTAAGTGTTCTGAATACCCATTCTCCGCAATGTTGTCCATAGCTTGTCATGATCCACACGATCAAAAGTCTTGGTTTAGTCAATAAATCATGGGTAAACATCTTTCTGATATTCTCTGCTTTCAACCAAGAGGCATTACCAATGATATCCCTTCTTCCATGCCCTTGTCTGAATCTGGCTTGAACCTCTGGCAGTTCCCTGTCAATATACCATTGCAACCATTTTTAAAGTATCTTCAGCAAAATTTTACATGCATGTGATATTAATGATATTGTATGATGATTTCTGCATTCCGTTGTGTCACTTCTTTTTGGAATGACACAAATAGGAATCTTTTCCAGTCAGTTGGCTGATGTTAGAGATCGCATGATAGAATAATGCAAGACCAATAGCTTATTCATTGCAAATACTTTTTAGACAACATAAAAGACGACTATACACATGGACCAGATGGAGTATACAGAAATCAAATAGACTACATCTGTGGAAAGTGGAAAAGCTCCATATCATCAGTGAAAACAAGGCCAGGACAAACTGTGGAACAGACCATCAATTGAGGCTCAAGCTGAAGAAACCCTACAGTAGAAGCTGATTATATTTTACTCTTCCCTTTTCCCCACTCTTGCTAGTCACATGGGATTCGGTGCTGCCTTTTAGCAGTTTAATGTGTTGGCAGAAGGAATGGTGGTGGCTGGTGGCTGTGTGCTGTGGAGTTGGTTCCAATTCATAGCGACCCTGTACAGGGTTTCCGAGGCTGTAAATCTTTACAGGAGCAGAAAGCCTCATCTTTC